CCGGGACCTCTTCACCTTGGTTAGAAGACGCTACTCCTGGTCCCTGATTCTAAGGACACCGTCCTTGATAAGTACCTCGCTACCATGCTCATCCAGCTGGCCAATGCTGATGATACTTGAACGCAGCTGTGGGATGTAATATACATCCATTAGCGCGCGGTGCTCGTCGTTCTAGCACCTTGATGATGGTGCCGCGCCCTCGGATCGCCACCCTTGAGCCGTCACTGAACTTCACCGTGCCGGTCACATTGTCATCGAGCTCGGAGAAGGCTGCCTTGGAGCCCGTCATGTGGTTGCTGGCGCCAGAGTCCAGGTACCACCGCTGCTCCTGCTCACCGCCCACACGTCCGATGTGGACTTGGGCGCATGGTTTGTCGAGGTTGACAGCCTTCAGGGCCTTCCCAGGCCCTTTCACCGCCATCACCTCTCCCTTCTCCTCGGCCTCAACGTCGTGCAGTGCACAGAACATCGCCATCAGGATAGTGGCCTCATCATCATCATCATCAGCCTGCGCCAGATGAGCCTCAGTCTTCTTCTCCTGCTTGCGATTTGGACACTCCCTTGTCCAATAGCTTGTCTTCCCGCAGCGCCGGCATGCGTTGGGGTCGACCTTCTTCTTCTTTTCGGAAGAAGCCTTGCCGCGGCGCTTGCCATCGCAACCACGGCTGGAGGAGGCTTCCCTGGAGTTTCTCCGGGCAACCCACTCATTCTCTGTCAGCAGCAGCTTGCCGCTGTCCTTTGTTGCTGTAGCCTGCTCCATGTGCTCGTCCACTGACCGCAGACGGCCTGTCATATCCTCAATGGTGAGGGTGGACAAGTCCAACATCGTCTCTATGGAGAGCGATCTAGATGTACTTCATTGGCACGGAGTGGAGGTACTTGGAGACCGCCTTCTCTTCGTCGATGGTGACGCCGTGGCTCCTCACCTTACTGATGAGCGTCTACAGGTGGAGGAAGAAGTCCTCCACCAATTCACCATCCTTGAACTTGAGGTTGGCGTACTTCTGCTTCAGCAGCTAGGCCGTCGTCTTCTTTGGGCGGTCGGAACCGACGCGCATCACCGCAATGGCCTCCCATGCCTCCTTAGCAGAGCTTTTCGCCCCCAACGGCTCCCTGTACTCTGTCGGTACAGCGACGAGGATAGTCTCTAACGCTCACATATCGTCTTCTTCGTTGTCGGTGTCCTTGTCAACAGCATTCCAGAGCCGTCGGGCTCTGAGCTTGACCTTCATGGTCACTGTAACGTCCCACCTCTCCGAGGCTGGGCCCGCTTACATCTGGCAGCTTAACTAGGATATAGACTGCCCTCACAGACCAACACTTGTCTTTTCTACGCACTTTGTCCTCACTCGTGCGCACCCGGGAAGAACTTCCCGGTCGGTCATCCATCGCTCCAGGCCAAGCACGCTTAACCTTGAAGTTCTTAAGAGATGAGCTTCCAGAAAAGAAGTTGCAACTTGTTGGTACGAGTATCCTATTAATCCTATTAAGCCCTGAGCCGGGGTGTTACAGTCACCGACCACTCACCATAGTTTGTGCCAGTCAGCGTCGGCCAACTGGTGCCGCTGACCTCCCGCACCGTACGCACAACGTCCTCCTGTCGTGGATGGGCAGCCACAGCAGCTCCGCTGCTGTCGCCCATCTCCAAACCGTTCATCATTGCCAGCGGTTAGTCCGGCGACGGCGCTTGTACGGCTCCGATACCACTTGTTAACCCACAGGATCTCCGGCACGGGTGAGTCGACCATTCACCAGCATTGCCGACCACGACTATCGTTGTCTGACCACATACTATGGCTAGAGGGAGAAAAAGGGAGGGAGAACAGAGCACGCACACAACATAAGCATCAGCGTTGGCCGGAGCTCTATAGAGGAAATGACAAAACTAATTTCGCTCTCTTTACAGAGTTGCAGTAGCAAACTATATATACAACTCTACCCATCTAATACTAGTATAGCTGCCATGCTACTACAGTGACTAGATGTGATAGCATGGCTGACTTTGACACCTACCCCTACTGTGGTTACAGTGCGGCAGGAGAGCCGTTCGGCGCCTGCCCCTGCTGTGACTACACTATCACAGCAGAGAGCCTTTTCGGTGTCGCCTTTCCCTACCTTGCGTTCACATAAGAGAGCAGCAGATTACTGAACATGCATTGCATGGGTAATAGTAGCTGTTGATCGTGTTTAAACCGCGTCCAATCTTATAATTTTTTAGAAACATGTCGTTCAGTGGTCTGAACGGTGACATATCATCTGCTTTCGCAAATCTCAAGGCCGTCCAATCCTTGTACGTGTGGAGTTCTAGTTCTTGATCTGCTAATTTAAACCTCTTAGTCATAGTAATATCTGATACATATCTTTGCAGGGATTTGTCGCACAACAACCTGACGGGCTCAATTCCTAGCGCCCTGTCACAATTACCGTCACTGACAACTCTGTAAGTCTGCTAACTCGACAAATTCTGCACGTTCCAACTTCATTAGTTTCCTGCGATTTTAATTTCTTTTATGAACCAATATATGCATTCATCAGCATCACGTTGGCTCACGTAAATGTTATACCTTTCAGAGATTTGACGGGGAATCAGATCAGCGGATCAATCCCCCCTGGACTTCTCAAAAAAATCCAAGACGGCTCCTTAAATCTAATGTCCATTCCCGGATCCTCTTTAGTTTTGTTCTAGCAGACATGCATGATACCGCCTTAATTTCCTGGCTGACAGTATCTTGACTTTCTCATCTGTGTGTAGTTATGCCGATAATCCAAACCTTTGCACCAACGGGGATTCATGTCAGACGGCGAAAGGAAAGAGCAAGCTAGCCATCTACGTCGCTGTTCCTATGGCTCTGGTTGTGGTGGCACTGACAGTACTGCTATGTTGTTTGCTGCTGCGGCGAAATAAGCGAGGTAATAAGTTTATAAAACATCGACTGACCGCGCTCTAGCTAGCCATGTCCTCTTTGCCATCGGCCATCCTGAACGAGCTAGGACCACGGATCTGCCGGTGCATTCAGGGTCAGTGGATGTCTCTGTGAAGCCCCGGGACAAGACTTCGACGAGCCTTGCTCTAATTGTTGCAGGCGACGAACACAGACGCAGCTCGCTGCGGCTTGAGAACCGCCGGTTCACATACGAGGACCTAGAGATGATCACCAACAACTTCCAGCGTGTAAATGGGCGGGGCGGCTTTGCATACGTCTATGAGGGCTTCTTGGAGGATGGCACTCAGGTGGCGGTCAAGATGAGGTCTCAGTCGTCCAATCAGGGTGCCAAGGAGTTCCTCACGGAGGTAACCATCTCTTTTCAGACGCATGCAATTCATATTTCCAGTGACAGGTTCAATTCGTATTTCCTTGGAAATTGACTAGTCGTCATGATCTCTGGCCACCTCTCCAGGCACAGATCTTGACACGGACCCATCACAAGAATCTCGTGTCCATGATCGGTTACTGCAAAGATGGGGTGTACATGGCACTTGTCTACGAGTACATGTCAGAAGGATCCCTGCAAGAGCACATTGCAGGTACGTAGCATATTGTTTAGCAGTTTAGAACTTCCTTCGGTTTGCACAGGGAGAGGATCAACTTCTCCTTCCTTCCTAGTCTGGGACCTGCAACGTTATGACCAATGACCTCGAGGGAAGGCTCCCTTTCCCCCCAGCACCTTTCAGCCTATTCGTTTCGGCTTATTCGTTCGTATCTGGCTTATAATCCACGGCTTGAATAGTATTTTTCTCTTACACCAAACCAGCCAGCAATAGTTTCAGCCATGGCTTATAAGCCAATTCAGCCGAAACGAACAGGCTGTTTGTTGATCTGAATTTCGCATGCTATCATTCTTCTGTCTGTAGGAAAACACTTAACTTGGGGGCAGAGACTTCGAATCGCACTGGAATCAGCGCACGGTACAATTCTATAAATTTCATGCACAATAAGTCATATTTGTTGTTAAAGGTTTGATTTGTGCTAGAAGTGTGAGTATCTGCACAAGGGCTGCAACCCGCCTCTCATTCACAGGGACGTGAAGACAACCAACATCCTACTGAATGCGAAACTGGAGGCCAAGGTTGCTGATTTTGGCTTATCAAAGGCTTTGGATCGTGACATCTACACTCATGCGTGATGCGTCCACAAACACACTTGTTGGCACACCAGGATACGTCGATCCAGAGTACGTCCATGTCTCCATGATCATGCAATTATGCTTCTTTTATCCTTCAGTAACTCCGAAGTTTGGGCATATAATGGAAATGGAACAGACAATGATAGAAATTATATTTTTGCCAGATACAAATACAAATTTGAATATTATTGCATACAAATAGAAAACGGGTAGCTAGTTTGAATTCGAACCCGTATTCAAATATCTACATAATTGAACTACTGTGTTAACCTCTTTTTGTCAATAAATTGCAGTAGGAGCCTCTGGCTCCTCGCCTCCTCCTGATTCTAAAAAAAACATAATTTAGTTCATATTGACTATCTATTTGTTTTATCGATAGTTTTGGGAAAAAAATTTATTGTGCAAGTAGAGATTAAAGTGAATAACATACCATCAGATTTATCTGAAAAAAAGATACCATCGGATTCAAATATATAGATTAAAGTGTAAAAAAATAAATGCATCCAAAAAATAAAATAATTTACAACAACATATATAAAATAATAAAAAAAGATTTAGATACATCCATATCCATTATATGTCCTGTTCGCTTGGCTGATAAGTCATAGCTGAAAGTATTATTGGCTGATTTGTTGTGAGAGAAAAATATTGTTCGTTGGCTGAAAAAGTACGGCTTATAAGTCAAGCGAACAGGACAATAGTATCTATATATGTTCGCTTGAACTTATCAGCCGGCTTATCAGTTAGAATCTACAGTATTTTTCTTTCACAACAAAATAGCTTCAGCTAACTTATCAGCTGACTTTAATACCAGCCGAGGCTGTAGAATTGGCACCACAGGGATGAACGTGCTAACATGCAGGTACCAGGCAACAATGCAGCCAACCACTAAGAGCGATGGGTACAGTTTCGGCGTGGTGCTGCTAGAGCTGGTCACAGGGAGGCTTCCTATCTTGCACAGCCCTCAGCCCACCAGCGTCATCCAGTGGACACGGCAGCACCTGGCGGGCGTGGTGGACGCGTCCATGGGAGGCGACCATGATGTCAACAGCGTGTGGAAAGCCACGGAGATCGCGCTCCAGTGCACCGAGCAGGCGTCGGCGCAGCGCCCCACCATGACCGACGTGGTGGCGCAGCTCCTGGAGTGCCTCGACCTCGAGAAGGGGCGCACAGGGGGCGACGCCAACAAAAGCTTCTTCTCCAACCGAGACAGCGGCGACAAGACCTTGGGTTACAATGCGCACGTTGCTAACCAATCCACTGACGTTAGCCAGAGCAGTGCATTTGAAATGATGCCAATGATGGCTACATGTCCTGCCACGAGGTAAAGACTAGTTGCCTGTTTCACCAAGGCACATGGAAATGTTCAGGCATTTTTTATGAAGAACTTTTCGTTCCAATATAGTATGAAATAAGAAAATCCCTGCAACAACATATACACCAAGCTAGTACATATATAGCCATTAGCCCATTACATATGAAAAGGACCAAAAAGAAAAGAAACGAGGAGGACCAATTGATATATATGCACGAAGCCATACCGAATCATATGCCAAAGCATGCGGAAAAATGTTCAGACAGTTGGAGTGTCTTCAATTTACAAATTTTCATTGTAAGACCATGTAATCGATGTATTTGTCTTGGATTTGCTTTTCACGGTGAGACACTCCCCCTTTTGTTCTTTAGTGATAAATATCCTGTTGTTCGCTGGATCTAGATCTCTTTGTTGGAATTAGCTGATCCAAATGTTTTTTTTGGCAAAATCCATGAAACCAGGGGAGGAGCTTTCAAATGGCAAGGTACGGTGCTCACCGTACCATTCCTAGCAACTCCCTTTTTGCTATCATGAACACTTTCATATATAAAGGGCCTGTTTGACAGAGTTCTAACTTTGAAAACAGTTCTAGAGCATCAGCTCCATCATGGAGCAACGGTACGGTGGAGTTGGGATTCCACTAATGTGTTTGGTAGAGCTCAAGCTCCAACGTTTCTCACCCTGTCTCACTGCCACCCTGGGCCCGTGCGTCGGTCTCTTCATTCCCTTCCTCCAGTTTGGAGCATAGTAGGAGGGGCTAGGCCAGACGCGCCCACGCCAATGATGGTGAGGCAGAGGCTAGGTGGCATCAAGGGACGTCAGGGCAGGGAGGGAGGGCAGCAGCCTCATGGCGGTGGAGCTGGGTTGCACATCGGCATGTCATTCGCACGCCGGGGCTCTCGAGCACTTGTGGATCTGATAGGATGTGAGGCAGCAGGCCCTGGTGTAAGAAAAATGGCACCTAGCACAGGCCATGGATGATTTTGGTGGTTGATTGATACCATGATCAAATGGACTAATGTTGGCTGCTAGTATATAAGGTTTAGTTCATTTGGATGCAAGGATGGATTGGACCCAGGCGACGTGAAGATCAAGTGATCAACACCTCAAGGAAGACTATGGAGCAGTTCAGAAAATCATACAAAACATGCTAGAAGTCCAAGACATCATGTAGAAGAAGCCCGAACATGAAGCCATGGAGAAACTCACTGAAGGGGGTTCACAGAGTGCACCGAGTAACTCTGGTGCCGCTGTGCAGGCATCGAAGAAAGAGGTGCAGTACATAAGATTCAGCGGCTCCAGAATCACCGGATAACTCTTGTGCATGGAAGACATCAACATCGGAGCTTAGGGCATCAGGCTGCAGAAGGGTTTTACGGCCACCAGAAAACTCTGGTGGTACCAGGGGCAAAGTACCAGAGGAAGGGTGCATCCCCGATAGTTTTGCAGAAGTTTCTATGCTCACCTGAAAGATCCAGTGGCATCAAGAGGGTTCACCGGATAAAGGGTGATCCGAAAGTTGGTAGAAGATCCAACGGCAGCTAACTCCTGCCACACGGTACTTCTCACTACCTCTATCAAGTGGCGCTCCAAACTGTGTTCTGTTGAACGGTGGCTCCTATTGTCGGTGACTAACATGACTGGGAAAACCTTGTAAAGACCACAATGTAATTTCTATTTTCGTGAATGATGTCTTTGTGAGGAATCCAATGTAACTGATTTATATGTATCGATGTAATAATAATCGATAATACTCTTGTCAGGGCGTCCGTCCGAGCATCTCCGTTTGGACGCCCCGTTCTAGGCCTGAGCAGCCATCGGGGCCCAACATCAATATCCCTGCAGCCTCTTCAAGTCTTCAACTGATTCCACTCCCCAACTCATCTGTCTGAGCGTGGTCCAGAACATTCCCCACTCCCTGGCCATCGCGGCTGCTTTCACAGTGTCGTCCACCCGCAGCGGCCGCGTTCACCGCGCACTCCGCCCGTAGCGGCTGCATCCACGTGCCATCTGCCCGCCGTGTCCGCGACGCGCCTCTGCTTGCCCCACTCTGCCTCGCCGGCCGCAGCCATCTCCTACCGCACCCCATCCTGAGGCCGTGCCTGTCTCAATCTTGTGCTGCGCCGTGCCGGCGTCCCTCACCGCTCCCCCATCCACCTGAGGCGTGCAGGCGTCCCTCACCTCGCCACTGCGTGCACCGCGCCACCACCACCCTGGCGCCACTAGGAGGAGGTCGCCGCTGGTTCCACAGTTCACACATGTAAGCCATGGCCGCGAGGGCGTACGTTGTGTTTCGAGCGTTTCGTACTTTTGTTCAAGTGTTTTATCTGGATGTTGCAAAAGTCGATATGGGATGTTGCATATGTTGCAATGGCAATATACGCATATTGTAAGCCTATGTTTCAATTGTTTTTCAGACGTTTATTTCAAATGTTTCATCCGGATATTTCAAAAGTACATCTTGATGTTGCACATGTTGTAATGGCTTCACACGCATGTTTCAAGTGTTTCATCTGTCTCGGACTTATGTTACAAATGTTTCATATGGATGTTTCAAAAGTAGATCGAGTGTTGCAGGCCGCCGTCTGTCTACTGTTGCTGCTAAGGGCGCCGCCGTGGTTAGCATGCTAGTGCCTGAGGCCGACAGACGCCTCCGCGGGTAGGGCAAGTGGGCACGGGGTCGTGGTTCCACAATGCGAGCGCGGGATTGGCGCTGGGCACGGTTCCACCGTGCGGGCACGGGATTGGTGCAGAGCGCGGTTTCGGACACTTGCGCTGGATGGGAACGGGACGGGGTGCGTGAGATACGATGCGGGCACTGAGCATGGGAGCTGTCCCCGGACGTTTAGGCGCTTTACCGAATAATAATGGATGAAAGTCCGGTTCCTTAAAAAAAGAGGCCTTCCGCTTTGCTGTTGATAAGGAAACCATATGCATCACATGGGACTGCGAGCATGCATTGTTCAGAAACCGACAGAGAGCAGCCAACAAGTAACTATCATCAAGACATCAACTGTTTCGGAGCAAATAAATGTGTGCATTGCATCAAACTGCAAACGGTTGCATAAAAGAATTATTAGCATGTTTCAGAAAAGAGAACAATTCCAACCCTTGTACAACAAACACACAAGAATGGCAGCATATATAAGTTCCACCTAGTTGTGAACCAAAATTGTCTTTGTTTCAGATTTACAGGAAAAACAAGATGTAATTTTGAGGGACCTTGTTTGGCAGACCCCTAGCTCTAACCTTTTTTTTAGCACTACTCCATATCAGTTCTAGGGTGGAGCCAGAGTTGTCAATGGAACTATGGAAGTGTTTCGGTTACCAGGTTCGCTCCAGCTCCTTGAATCAATACTACAAATAAATTGTTAATGATATGAAGGCATCATCGCTTGAATATCATCATTTACATATAAGTATGTTCCTTTGGATATTAATTCTTTTTCTTCGAGATTGTTGCAGTTTTGTAACTATTTTCAATAGGGAATATCATTACATTTTTCAGGTATAATTGCATGAAAACAATCAAGCATGACAATCTGAAAAGCAATAGGAATTCAAACAGTTTATTATTATTGTACATTTGCTTCTGCAGGAACTAAGAAAGACTGAACTGAACAAATTGTTGAGATCAGTCATCATTGTCAAACATGGCACTCACTAGAAGGCGCTTTTAAGCATATATACATAGAGGGGAAATAGGAAATTGACTGAAAATATACAATGGATGCATACTGCCATGCTGGGCACAGATTTAATTTATTAGGACTGATATTTGTTTCAGGAACAAAAGTTGGGGAAGTTCAACTAATCATCTATGTCATTCAGTGAGTAGATTTCTTATGATATTTTTATAATTTATCTAATAATACTTATTACTGATACTTTTTATATATTTAATTAAATTTAAGATTTATTGACATCTCGTAGAGTAACATTGTTTTGGATGGAGGGAGTACCGTGCCTGACTGACCACCACATCAGGAATTCAGGACTGAGTCGCTGGAGACTGCCGTTGTGTGTGTGTGTTTTCCAGACAAGTTTCAGACCTTTTGACACTTTTGTCTATTGTTTTTATTATCTTTCACTCCTTATTTTTACTAGCAAATATGCCCATGCGTTGCAATGAGAGAAAATAAGCAATCGAATATTTATAGAAAATGAGAACAGGAACGTAATAGATCTATTTGTGTGTTACCTTCAAAGCTACAATGATGCCAATAGTATGACAATGTTTTATAGAGAAATGTTAGTGGGTTATTTTATACTTAATTAAATTATATCAATAACTTAGTGGTGCACAAATCTTTATTTTATAAAGATTAGATGTTGAAAGGCATAAGATACTGTGGGGGGTACGACCCCGGATACCCACGGCAGACCACATGGGCTGCGCCCCCAGGGGCGGTCCAGCCCACAAGACGAAGCCTTGCGGGGCATGGCGCTGCTCGGTGCGTCCCGCAAGACGCCGGGAAGATATCCTGAAGATACTACGAGATCTGTTAGGATACGTATGATCCCATGATTCCTGTAATATGTTATTACTTTCCGGTTATCTCCTAGATCTAACCGACTTGTAACCCTGCCCCCCGGACTATATAAGGCGGGCAGGGACCCCCTCCAAATACACGCAACATTATACGATTGCCAATACAAACCAACATACCACAGGAGTAGGGTATTACGTCGTGCTGACGGTCCGAACCTGTCTAACTCTTGTGTCTTTGTTGCCTTCTTGTTCTTGATTACGCGCACCTCTACGACAAATCTACCATCGTGGTATACCCCTCGGTGGACTACCGAGCATCTTTTGTCGACAGTTGGCGCGCCAGGTAGGGGTGTTCGTGTTGTTTCCATGTCGAACAAGATGGTACGTTTTGCAGGCTCTTCGTCCCTCCTACAGCCCGGCCACATCTTCATGGTCGGATCGATCTCCTGGATTATCAACGCTGACGAAGTCGGAGAGCTCATCGAGTCGGTGCAGATCAATACTGCACCGATCACCCCAAC